GCACGAGTGAGGGAGAGTGAGGAGCAAGGGAGGGAGAATGAGCACGAGTGAGGGAGAGTGAGAAACTAGTGAGGGAGAGTGAGACAGAAAGATAGAGATATTACAGTCCCAGCCTTTGTATGAGTTACCGAGTAATGCTGCCACCACCCTTAATTGCTGGACAGGGGACCGGAGTAAGGTTCGTAGGCCTTGCAGATGGTATAAACCTACCAGGACAGGTGTAGGTCACAATTGAACGGTACAAGGTTCCTGGCCTGTCACTCGAATAATCCTGACCACTTGGGAACTATAGAGTACACAAGAATAAGGCGGGACACACCCAATACTAACACCTCAACACGGGACGGACGGGGGGGAGGAGTGTTGAATAATTAAGGACACTAGGTCACTGGGGCAAAGGGGACGGTAGGCCCAATATCACTAAGACAAGGAACCATTAATACATATTTACTAACACTTGACAATATATGAATTTATTTGAAATAATTAAATAAGACACTCCCTAACTATATTCCCTACTAGAGGCCATGAGTAATGAATGAGGTGCTTTAGTACAAGAGAGCCGAACTTACTCGTATGTTGTTCCACAGTTTTCTTGGAGATGATGTTCCCTCCCTGAGTCCACTCACACCGTCCTACTGGGCTGCACCCACTCTACTGTCCCTTTTCCATGATCTCTTGTTCCCCAGTTGAACATGAGGGTTTGCATTTGATGTGGAGGAGTTAATCCCTGTAGATTATCATGACGGCATCAACTCTGACCTCTTTGTGACTCGGTGACCGTTGACCTGTCCTCCTGGTTAACTGGTACCGAGGTGTAACTTTTTCCATTGTTTGCCGCCGCCTGACTGGCGCCGCGCCTGTGGCTTGTTCATCCTCCATGTGGCTTGTTCATGCTGTTATGATGTTCATGTTGTACTACTATGTACTGCTCTCTTGTTACAAATCTATGACCTCTTGTTCTTGACGTTCCAGGTCTCAGGAATTCTTCCCTATCAATTTTAACCCTTAAACCGCGCAGCGCACCTGCAGGCCCTCGTCATGTTTGCGTAATGCGCCTCCGGGTATTTGTATTTTTCACATTCCATTCAAAACTCCCGTGGCTACATGGGGTTCACATCAGCTTCCTCAGGACTCTTGTAAACAGTCGCCATCTTTAAAAAAAATTGTGGGCCACATTCCCGGGTGTGAGAGCCTCAGTACTGAGTGAGCAACCAAGGCTAGCGCGCACAGTATGAGCTCACAGCACTGCTGTTCAGCTTGTGACCACAGCATCGCCTAATAATGTCAAAATATATATATAACTTGTATTATTTAGCCATGATAGTATTACAGAAGAGCCTGAATATGATAATGACTGTGTACAATGTTCAAATATCATTGATTCAATGCTGTTCACGATGTTCACAGCGCTAGCCACAGCAACACAGCATTATTTTGTCCATCTAGGAATCTTCAAACGACTTCCTAGGTTCCTTTACAAAGTAAACTTATTCATTTACAGGATTTAGTGACCAGTATTGTGATAACAGCAGGGTTGTGGTGATAAGCACTGTGCATAGTATTGTGGTGAGGGAAGGAGGGAGGGAGAGAATTGAGGTAGCCTCACTGTGTGTGTGTGTGGCAGCCATTCTTGTTTTGCTCATCATACTAGCTTAGTGGTTTGCTATGGTGAACACATTTGTACTTGGGTATATAAAATGTGTGTGTATAGTGTAATAACAGCATCAGGAGTATGTTGGGAGGAGCTATTTTGGTGAGGGAGGTGACGTAATTGTAGCGTTGTCTGCTGGCTGCTGTGTGATTTCTCATGCAGTGTATGGTGGCCACTGTAAAGTTGGACACAATACCGACTTACTTGCATAGTTCTGGTGAATAAAACATGTAGATAGATATACTGTACATAACATGTGTAAATGGTGTAATAAAAACAATAACAGTATGGTGGGAGGAGCAATGTTGGCGAGCAAGATGTTGGAGGAGTGAGGGAGACACTGGATATTGGAGTGAGGGTGTGGCAGCTGACACTCGTGGAGTTCTGAGTGTGTTGATGGTGAATGTATATAGTATGTGATAGTGTGTAAATAGATTGTATATATACATAAATTAGCATGATGCATGGGAAATATGTGCAACATATGTGTACATGTGTGTCATGCACGTAATACCAGTACAGTGTTTTCGGACAGTACGGAAGTTTTACTGCCATAATATATTGTAAGTGTTCATTATACGCAGGATTGGCACGAAAAAACAAATAAAATGTATTTGGAACTGTGCGCAAAAAATTAACAAAAATATATTTGCGGCAATACACGCATCCTGCCCCGGGCGCCCTACCGGCCCGGGGGAGTACGACGCGGGCAACCAGGTAATGATGACGTCACGCGTGAACTTGCGGACCCCATAGCAGCCAAAGTACGTACAATTTCGACCTTCTGTTACTATACCCCTACTCAGGGAAGGGGTTTTGACACTTTCAAAACAAAAAATAATTTTTTCCAGAGAATTTATTTCCTGCACACTGAGGGGGTTGTCATATTTGGAAGCCAAGCAGTTGAGGGGATAAGGGGGCATAGTACAAAAATATGCAAAAGTGAAAACTGGTTCGATTTCAATCAAACTTTTCTGTGGAGAGCCACTTCGGCTTCCTGGAGCTATACCGGGCTGATGTGTATATATTAGACCGTGGTAACAGTCAACCGAAGGAGTTCTAGGCCTACCGGGGACCAGAGCCAGAACCTGGCCCCCCTCCAGAGAGGCACGAGGAGCAATGGCCTATAGACACCCCCGTGTAATTGGAAGCAGTCTTTGTCTGCCATCTACCAGGTCAGGCATCCAGAAAGGTCCTGCTCTTCGTCATGTCATCTTAGTGGGTGCGTTGAACGTGGTCGATCCGCCCCATCCTTCCGGGGTTTCCGTCTGCTCTATGCAGACATGGGCCTGGCGGATCTGCGGTTCTTCTGGACTTGTTCAGTCTGCTCCCTGGATTCTATGCTCTCATCGGAGGACTGTTGTCTCCGGTCCAGTTTCTGTTCAGGCCGGGTGCCTGGATGGTGGCCCTGGACCTCCAGGTCACTTCTTGGCACATTCCTCTCCAAGTTTCCGGGACTGGCACAGTTGGTGGTGGGGCTTCAGGTTTGCCGCTTTTGTTGCCTTCCCTAGTTTGTAATTGGCACTTGGTGTATTTACGCATCTTTACCGGATCTTGGTGCCCTGTCTGAGTCTGCTTGGGATTCGGTGTCTGGCCTACCTCTATGATTGGCTGGTGTGGGCTCCCAGTCGGTCCGCTTGTCTGCATGCCAGGGGTGTGGTTGTTTCCAGATCACCGGGTTCAGTTTCCTGGTGATCTGGAGGCCATTCCATCTGTTTCCGTCCCCGGGTTCGGATCTGGCTGGGTCTTGTTTGGGGTTCTTGGACCACTCCTTGTCTTTCCCTCCAGAAGTGTTGCAGCGGCTGTGGTTCCCCCTTTTGGCTGTTTATGAGGGGGCCTCGGGTTGCTTGATGGTTGCTCGAGCGGTTGTGCTGGAATCTGAACTTCGATGTGCTGGTCTGCCCGCAGGGTCAGGTTTGGCTTTGGCGTCTGTTTGGTTCCGCCTCTCTTGCAATCTTTGGGTTCATCCTCCGGGGATCTTGTGTTGGTGCTGCATCACCAGCTTCCTCTTTGGGGTTTTCAGGGTTCCGTGCCTTGGCACCTCCCCGAACCTCCGCTCGATGTGCTCACGGACGAATCATCTCTCAGCTGGGGCTTTGTGACCAGTGCTCACCAGGTCAGCTGGGGATGGTGGGGTCTGTCCGTCCCTCGGGCTCACAGCACGGTTCGGGAGTTTGTGGCTGTCTGGTTTGTGCTTCGGAGGGTTCGGGTCATTCGGTGCTTTGCCATCCAGCTCCATTCAGACTGTTCTCTGGCGGTTCTTTGCTGGAACCACAGGGTTTCTCTTAGGTGTTTGACCTTTGGGGTTAGTCCCTTCGAGTGGCTCGTTTGCTGGATTCTCGGGGTTTGGTTAACCGTGAGGTTCATGTCCAGGGTGTGTCCTGCGTCCTGGAGGACAGCCTGTCTCGGTTCATTCCTCTGTTCGCGGATTGGCCAGTCATCGCCGACTCGTTTCATTGGCTCTGCCGGACGTATGGACTCCTGGCCATGGACATCTTCATGTCGGCGTGGTCTAGGCGTCGCTCATTCTATGTGGCGCCCTTGCCCACCTGCGAGGCGTTCACAGTGGATGCCTTTCGGCAGGACTGGTCGAGGTGGGGGTACCTGTTCCTCTTCTCCTGGTCCAGCTGTTGTTCGGGTTCTGGCTTGGTTGGAGTCCATTCCCAAGGGAGAGTAGTCCTCATGGTCCCTTGGTGGCCAGCCCAGCTTTATTTTCAGACGCTGCTTGATAGGTGTCCGAATCCGGGGCGTTTTCCTGCGGCTCTGCCTCTTTCGGCAAGTCGGACTGGTCCTGTACGTGACTGGTTCGGCCTTCTCCTCGGCTCTTTGCGTCTGGTATTTTGACGTGGGTATCACCATCTCTATGGTGATCAGGTGGCTTCATTGATGGTGTCCCACCTGCAAGCTTCGTCTCGGCGACAGTATGACATTCCTGGTGTTTCTATGCACCTTTTTTTGGGTTTGCTCTTCGTAGGTTGT